CCACATGAGTTTTCAGCCCTCATGATTGCAGAGGAAATTGTAAAACTATGACTTCACTGCACACAGGTTCAAAATCCAGAAGGTAAATAAAAAGAAGCCAACATTTATTTATTATTTTAAAAACGTCTCATAACCTTAAAGCCAATTGTATGATTTTGGGGGATCCTAACTCATTAGTTCTGAATAGCTGGGTCTGGCATTACTGGTCTCATGGAGCCAATACTTCAAAGGTAACTCAAATGCCATCAGCAAACACACAGTCCAAAGTGCCCCTCCACATTCACCAGTCAGGTCACCGCTGTTCCTTTTGACGGTGACTGAATCTTGAATGTAATGCAAGCTCATAGTAGTCATGAATTCTAGCGGCTCCCTAGGCCTGTCTCCCAGCTCTGAGCTCACACTGTGGGCCTGCAGCATGATAGACCCCCCCACAGCAGCCCATTACGTCTTTTCTCTAGTGGCATCCCCACCCTCCAATGGGAGAGCTGGCAGCAGACAGTAGGGGTGGGATTTTCTACCAGTTCTCTAACCAACCAGGGCTCTGGGTGAATGGAGAGGCCCATCCCCTGAACAATTAGAGTAGCCCTTCCCGCTGCTGCTGCCGCCATGTGGAGTGGGGTTCCACCATAATCACGATACTCTTGAAAAAAGCGTTCATGGTGACTGTGCCGTCCAGTTTGCTGGTGGGTTAGTTGGGGAAAAATACCTGCCTCACAGGCTGTGGGGCCTGGCACATACACTTCTGTTAGGCACCCACCCTCACCATGTGTATCACCAACACTTGATACATTGCGAATAATTCTGGTTGTGTTGGTATAAAAATGGAGATGAACAACGTTCTCACTGTTATTTGCATTATGTTTTTATGGGGGTGATGCTGCCAGAGAGACTCAAAAGGGAATTTAGGAGTAAAAGCAATCCTTTTGGGGCTGGTTTATTGTTGCCCTGAACAAGAGTTATACCTAGGTTTTATTTCCATTCAAGGAATATTACTAACTTATTGGGACACGTTGACCAGATCACAACCTCCCTTGTACCTCAAGTTTAGCCATCTGTAAAACAACATAGCACTTAGCTACTTCACAACAGAGCTGTGGGATTCAGTGTTTCCAAGGTGCTTTCAGATTCTCCGGTGAACAGTGTAGTATGCATTAAGAGATCATGGGCAGAAAAACATCAGACTTCTAGACAGAAGATCACTCTCTGCTAAATGCTTGAAGTTCCTACTTTATTAAGGTCCTCGTACAACATGCCCTCGTCCTTTCTGGGGCCTGGCAGGCCAACGACTCTATGAATTCAACTCTACTACACAACCACTACTACATAAATACAAACCAATTATTATTAGGGCCCTAAGAATTTTGCATTTCTGTGGCTGAGAAATAGGTCACGGAATCCACCCCTTGCTACAAAATTGACTCCAGAATCCAGGCTTTCATTAAAAAAGCCCTCATGTGAAGTTTACGTTTGGTTCACATATTCTAGGTTAACAAATGCAGTGTTATTTTCATTCATCCGCACACAGCCTAAAACAATAACTTAGGGAGGTGTGAACTGCCCTATTCTTCTCAATGGATTGTAAACTCTGAAACCTAAAGACAGGAGTTTCATGTTAGCTATTTCTCTGATGTTCATTTTGGAAGAAACATCTAGGGATACAAAATGACTGTGCTTATCTCAAATGTCTCCCATGCTCTCTCAGATGTCAAAAGTCCCCACTATACTCTACACCACTGCTAAAACCTCCAGTTTGCCCCTACTTGACTCTGTCTATGGTGTTGGGGACAACATACACTAAATTGTTTTTATACTAAAATCAATGCAGGACTTTATTATTCTGCTTTCATGTTTGTTTTAAATTAAAAAGCCCTCCATTTTTACATCATGCTTCCACACAATTTCTAGTCTGCTTCACCAAAGTCACAAAATCCAGGAACTTAAAGGCAGAATTTCAGTCCAGCTGGTAGTGAAGTTCATGGTGTCTTGATTATTAATATGGAAAATTATCAACAAAATCAAAAACAAAGCTCAAAAGTTTCTATCAGAAACTCAGGCATTTGCAACTTCATTGTTAAATGCCAAGCTCTGCGCCAACCCCATAGAAAGAACGTCTCTCTCTGGAGTAAAGATGTAGAAATGTAGAACATATAGCAAAGGATGTAAACAGATAATGCAACAGGAGGATATTAATAATTTAAAAAAGTTAAAGCATCCTCAATCCATATTCCTGGGTGAATAAGGAGAGTAAGAGCTATCACTGTGATAAACTGTAAACTAATTGTACTATTTAAGTCTGAAAAGCATTTCTGGATGCAGCATATAGGAAAGATGGTATAGAAAATAAAGTTGTGATATACAGAAAAGAACATAGATACGTAAGAGGGAAAAAATCCTACATATACAGAAAACCATGCTCCTCTGGAGAAAGAAAAAGACCATTTTGCTCCGGCCTTTTCTCCAGCACTCAGGCAAAATAGCAATAGGTGCTATAAATTTGTATCCAAGGATAAAGGAAAGTGGTATTAAATGGAATTAGATGGAAGTTATTTACACTCAGTGTAATTAATCTATGAAATAAAGTTTCAAGAATAGCTCTAGGAGTGACCTGGATGGCGGACAGATCCAGAGGGACTCTCTGACCTTCTATATTAAGACTGCCTATGTTTTATTTTCTAGGATTTTTCAAAGATAAAAGGTTGTAGGACACACAGCATTATACTCACATTACTCTCGAGGCTACAGCAACTTCTGCATTGTGCCCTAGCAATGTATGCCCTCCCCCTGTAGGCTTGAACTGCTTTGGACAGCTGTGGAAAGGGGCGGGGAGGGGGAACTGCATTTGAAACATTTGTGTTTGATTGTGTGCAACCTACCCAGCGCAGCTGGTCTGAGTCAGCTCTGAGAAGATGCTGTGCAGCTGTTTCTCTGGAGCAACACCACTGGGCAAACAACAGCACAGCCAAACATCTCTGTACATCTGCCTGGTCTTTGGAGTTCATTTTGTCCTTACTCTGTCATGTTTAATCACTACATGTTAGTCTTTATCTTACTATATATTCCTGGGTATATGCTAAGAAGGCACAGGGACAGCATACTGCTGTACTGGATTTCTCCTCAATTTTTAAATTGTCAAATCAGAGCCATTGAAACACATTAGGTTTTTCAAAATGTATTATTGGACCTCTGGGCCATTGCTGATTCTATCCCCACTCTAAAAACACCAGGGCCAGATCTTCAGCTGGTTTAAATCAACATAGATCCACTGATGTTGAAGAATTTGGCCACCGATCATTGGCGAGCCCATTCTGTTAGAAATTATTTGCACAGAATAAATAACATGGCAGCATGTCAATCTGAAGAGATCCTTGTTAAGTAGCTGGGCTCACACATACCATGGAGATGGGAGTGGTATGAGAACCTGAATAGAATAGACTCATCATCAGAATTACAAAGGCTCATGCATGAAAAAACAAAAAACACAACACAACACAAAAACGAATGCTGAGTCAGCCTGAGCTGATGTTAACTAATGAGACTCTGTTACAAAGCAAATAATCGACACAACATAGCATACACTGTATAGAATAGCTAGATTTAATCATGATGTAAAAGGGAACAGTCCCCAGTTGCCTAATGTTGGGAGACTAGTACAGTACTTTACAGTGCTAGAACCTCAAGTTCTAAAACACAGTAAACAACCACATTGCCTTTAAATGGGTCAAGTGAAAAAAAGTCTACAGGACTCTTTAAAGGAAATAATGTACTTCAGCAACACAGAGAGGAACATGTCAAGGTTCGAGCACCTTAAGATACTGTATAACTATACCATTTCCTTTTATGATGGTGGAAGCATGGGAAAAATTAAGTCCTGCAGATATGTCCAGTTGTACAACACACACAAGCCTATTATACTTTATACCGATATAATCTTCTAAAAAGAAGATGAATTGCATAGCTTTTTTGGGCATTCAGAGCCAAAAGAGAATTGGAGATGAAAAGTTTGACAGGCAGGTTATGAACCATGTTTGCTATGAGTGGAATAGTGAGCACCATAGAAGGTGCCTGTTTTTTTCTCTCATAAATGAAAAGGTTAGAAATTAATAACAACAGATTTGTTTCTCCATTCAAGAGTACCTTGTGATTTTAAGTGAGGTTATTTTTACAATCTTTGTACTTGTATCAATTGTTTTTCTAATTGCTAAAGGACAAAAAAGAAAAAAAAAGAAAGAAAAAGCATTAATAACCAAGATAGTCCTATCAGACTGATAAAAGTTAAGAGGGGTAAAAATACATGAAACACTCTACAATCTACTTTTGATAAGAGTCTAAAAGAAAGTTTGATTATGAGGAAGTTGACTTTGAGAAACATTTTGATTTTGAGGAAATGAGGTAATTTTTATCAGTAGACTGCCCTGTATTACCATCCCTGAGGATACAGTTGCAGTTGATCTGACACACTTTCCACATTTGCTGGCCTTTCTGTTTGCTCCTCAGCAAGTTTACCAATCATCTTCCAAAGTCTTGATTAAAATCTCAAAAGTGCGTATGTGACTTATGAGCCAAGTTCTCATTTTCAGAGGCACTTAGAGCTTTCATCTCATGGAAAGACAGACAATGCGACGTAGGCACTTAAGAGCCTATGTCACTTTTGACAAATCAAAATTTGAAAAAATGTTACCCCTTGGCTCTACAAGAAAAGTGGAACTACTCTAACTCAATTTTAAATTGATCTACCTAAATGAGTGCAAACTCCTGATACCGATGCACTTAAACCAGTTTAACCCCTTGCCTCAATTTGTTTAGCTTGTGTCAGTAAACTTATGGAGTCTTTCCAGAAACACACCCATCTGTTCACTGATGGGAGACGCTCTCTCTCACAGAGTCATTCATTCTTTACAGCACAAATTTGTTCATTTGAAGAAGGTCTCAGACACCTGCTGTTTGTTTGTATTATTATGTACTTTAGCTATAGTTTTAAAATATTTTCCAGTGACCAAATATATTTTTTAAACAGACAATAGTTTATTTACAATAGCTCAACTCTCTGAGATACAGCAATGCAAGCGAAATGCACCAGACAAGCATATATTTAAATAGATTATTCCAAATGTTACACACTGGAAGTTTAAAATACTATTATATTAGCTTTAATATTGTGGTGACTAATGTTTCAATAATACATAACTTTGTGGAAACATCCTGATATTCAGTGTGTTTTACACAATTTATCCTGAATTACAGTAACTGTGCAATTATAACTTGGTTCATACAAGAGAATAATAAATACTTGAGTGTATATTTTCACGCATGTTTATTTAATGAGTCCTTGCACAACTCAGATGCACACACCTTGATGGTGAGTTATATAAATTTGATAACTAGTTTGCATCTCTGATCTTAGAATAAAATATCCAGATTGTAATTTCTCTTATATAGTCAACATTGTCGAGTGCAGAATATCTGGCATACATTTTCATAAGCTGCAGACTAAACACTGCAAAGCATAAATGTTACATCTTTGTAACCAAACATTTAAAAAATGGAAATATGTAGGATTATTTTAAAGGATGTTTTTAACTTAACTGCTGAGCAGAGTACTGATAACCAGAAACAAAATATATTGCAGAAAGTTTGTGTACTAACATATATACCAGATTTTAGCACAGCATGTGATACGAGACTATTGGCCTATTCCTACTCCCACTGTAGTCAACGATACAGCTTCTAGTACTTCAGTGGGGTAAGAATTACAGTATACCAGATGCTTCAGGAATCACATTTTTTGCTGAGATCAGTAATCGTTTGGGTGATAGACTACTTAAGGTATTTGCAAACTAAAAGTATTTGCTTAAGTTCACCCCACCTTTAACGTTCATCTTTTTCTTATGATTTACAGTAATTAAAAATAAATATTTTGAACACACTAGTCATGATGTGCCTCTACTGTAAGAACCAATCCTATACTGACAGAGGGGATACAAGAAGTCTTCTCCATTTCTAAGTTTCTGGGATTATGATGACACACCGGGTGTATTTATTGCAGTGACCGTCTGCCATCATAAACAAAATAAGTTTTAAGCTTTAAAGCTCCCACATATCACTTAATAGATCATTGGTTACATTACCAGCTGCAACAAACTTATAGCTGACAAAATGTAGCACATAAGTGATCATGAAAGAATATTAAAATACAAATAAATATATTTTAAAAATTAAGTGAGGCAAACACACATACAAGCAGTTAAAAAGATCATGTAGGCCTATACTGTTTAACTCAAATATTGTATGTTAATGATACCACCATAAAACTATTTAGAAGCAACATAAAAATCAATAAGTCAGACTAAATCAATTTCTTATAGAGATCAAACTGTGGCTTGGATAAATGGTGCTCTCTCCTTGTGGTGCTGAAGAACAGATGATAAAGAGGAGTACGGCTGGAGTTTATTTTAGGGATGGGTCATAAAACTCAAATCCAATGCGTCTACTTTCAAAATGAAATGGCTCTCTTTTGACCTCTGATTTTGCAAGACAGATAGTGAAGTGCATTGTGTATCAGAGAACAGGAGCAAGCCCTAAGAAGGTACTCAATGAAAACATACTTAGGCCTTAATCCTGTTTCCATTGTAGTCAATGGCAAACTTCTAATTCAATGGAGGAAGAGTAGACCCACTGTATCTCACTTTCTGCCCCTTCCTTCCTAAGTCTACAGAGAGCAAGTGGCAATATTCTTTATCAGTTTGTCCTATTTGTTTTGGCTGCCTCCTTTTTTCACTTCTTTGTTGAACATTCTGTGTCTTATCATTGTCTCTTTCCTTGTGTGAGGAGCTCTCCTGGGACTGGCTCTGAGCGTTTGCCACGCTTCATTAATAAAGAGTGTAACAAGGAAAAGTCTCTGAATTGTCTTGGCTGGTTTCATGCTCACCTCAGCCACAGAATCTGGCTGTAGATGGGTTAGGAAGCTACAAGTTTCATTCCTTTTGTCTAGACGAGCCACTGAGTGCAAAAACCACAGCCTTGTATTTAAAGAACATGAGGCTGTACAAACTTCACAAGTGATGAGTCACTGGATACCGTGCTTCTTAAAATATTGAAATGCAAGAAACAAACTCTATCCAACAGTCCGCAAATGTTGTACAACTTGTCTCTTTTAGTTAGCCTGTTGAAATCATGCATTTATTAAATGTTTAGCAAAATCTCTCTGGTAAGCATATGTGGCGGTCTTGCACTGTTCTCTGCACAGGGATGGATTTCATCCTTCGCACATGACAACATTCATCAATACAATTTGAAATTGTCTTGCATGTTCTTATTTACGTTTGTATTTCTGAATTTTGATGCAGCAGTTGTATCAGATATATACAATTCATGAAAAACAGTCCCCTTTCTTACAGAGATAGAAACTATCAAAGAGAGGAAGAGATCAGGAAAATGAATATAACATGATAATGCCTAGACTACTGGTTGAAATAAGTTGGTAATAGACATGCCCTTATGCAATGATGCAGAGATTTGATCCTAGCAGTGGTCTGTTATCCCATTACTATATATACATACACACACACACCCCTTACTCATTTTAATGAGTTACACACTTGCACATATTGTAAATCAAAGGACAGACAAGTCTATTACATACAATCCACAACCTTGTTTTTGTACTGTAGTTAAATAATCATGAACATATTTCAAGTTTTAGATACAACCTATATAACTAGGGTGACAGAAAATGGTGTTCCAACAAGCACTGTAATGGCATATTGCAAAAATCACAAAAACCCCCAACAAAAACAAACAAACCCCAAAGCAACTAGTTAGGAACAAAGCCATGAGCCAGTTAAAAAGATTCTATAAAGATTTTATGTTGGGTTAGCTACATCTGTTGAAACACGTCTATACAAGAAGGATTGGTCGCTTAAGCACTTTTGCATGTAATATCATTGGGGCATCCCTTTCCCTGTTTCTCTAAAAAGCATCACATGCTTGCATTTCTTATTGTCAAATTTAATTAACAGAGAAAACTTTGCCACAGACATGACAGAATAAGATTATATGAACAGTGCCACAGTCATTGATGCTGTTCAACTAACTAGAGACCAGTTTGCAAAAAAATGTCAAAACCAAAAGCAGTCATATCAATATAACCTGTTATTACAAATATGTTCCAGTCAGTGCTTCAATATAGTTAAAAGTTTTTTAAAAATCCACCTTTATTTTGCTAATAAATAAAAATAAGATTGTAAGCAAAGTGGGTAAGTAATTTAAATGTTTAGTTATATAAATTAGCACAGTGACATTTGTTTGAATAAGTGCACTGAAAACAGATAACGCCTTCCTTTCTTCTGATACCTGAACATTTATTTACTTTTGCTTGAGTTACTGAGTAACATGTGGACCTTCAGGTTCCCTGCATGATCTATAGTCAGCTAATACTAAATGGTCAATAGCTGAACCTCAAGAGAAAGTTTCACGAGATGGACAACTATGCTAACCTGCATACAATACATTTAAAGGTTTTGCAGCATTATTGCATTAGATTAGAGCCTTTGGCTTCAATATTTTTAGTTGTGGGGAACGGGAAGAAGGCAGTATTTTTTACACCAGAACATGGATATGTAATGGATGAAAATTGGTAGGATGACTGACAGGAACCAATTTTTGCCTATGAAAATATAGTTTTTCAGAGTTTGTAAAGAAATAATGATAGGATATATAAGAACAAAAAATACTACCCTAAATTTGGAAGAATCTGTTACATGCTGTACTTTGGCATTATTGTCACTGAACCTTACAAAGAACACTTAACGGATAAGACATTCTAATCAGGGTTGACAACAGCCAATTAAGTGTCAGAAGAATAATCTGATAAATTTGTCTGTGTGCTATAGGCATTTGCAGATAAGTCTTAACTATCAATCTGAATGTTAAACATCTTTATTTCCATCTTGCTATTGATGGCCTTATTAAAAAGGAAATGCTATCAGCTCTTTCAAATTGACCTTGGGATGCTCTCTCCCAAAAAAGGATAGTTCTGAATTTGGAAGAATCTATGGGGACTCTTAAATACAGTAAATTTCTAATCAAACTGAGCAGGTGTATAGCTTGGTGAAGAACTACATAGCTGCTGTCATCTCCATACAGTTTCAGATATTGCAGGTGTCTGGTTTACAGTAGATCTGTCTCTTTAATGGGTGGAAGGATACCTGTGGACATTCTAGTAGGCCATTCTCTGCTTTCAGTGCTCCTTGCTAGTCATACAGAAGATAGCACCTCATTGGTTGGATCAGTCCCCTTCTTGTCTTCACTCTCAATGTCAATCACATGAACCATGCCAGGCTTCAGGATCAAGTCGTCAGTCTCTATCTGGCTCCTGCTATCATCCACCTCCACGTATTTCCCTTTAGACTGATGGGTAGCCTTACTGAAGACATCTTTAAAATGTCGCTTGAACTCAGTATCTGGGCAATATACATACTCATAAAGGGCACCTGCAAGGACTGCTCCTATTATTGGTCCAACCCAATAGACCTACAAGAGAGGGAAGAAACCCCACAGGGGTACATGATGGAAAGGAAAATGTTTCAGAGAAAAGCAGTTTAGTGAAGACTTTAAATGGACACAAAAGCCCCTTGAGTAGAGAGCTTAACCAACCTCTCTTGCTCAGAAGTGGACATGCTCTGAGCAATGAGGCTGTGCCTGTCTAGGTCCTCCTGTGGCCTCTAACACCATAGTATTTGAACATTTCATAAATGCTGATAAATTTGTCCTCACAACACGCTTATGAGATATAAGTGGTATCATCCCAGTTTTGTAGAAGGGAAATCTGAAGCACAGGGAGATTAAGTGGCTTGCCTAAAGTCACATAGGAAGTCTGTGGCAATGGAAAGACTCCCACTGATTTCAGTGGGCTCCATGTGATTATCTCAGAGGGATTGTATGTCCTTCACATGTTCTCAGTCCCTCTCTCCTTCTTCTGGAGAGGAGAAAATATGTGAAACTCTGACTAGCCATCCTGAGTGGAACCATCATGCAACATAACAACATGGTGCAGAGAGGGCACTGAGTGGTTTTACAGGAATGTTAGGAAGGCATTCCCTCATTTTCTGATGAGACAGGTCAGGATACTATGACAAACACGGGACACAGGGAAAATGCTTCATCTTGAGCACACATTTCCCTCCCCTTGAGGTCCCCAACCACCTCTGTACAGTATTCCTCAGCCTCCCTATGCTTCACTACAGGCAGATACCCAGCCTCATTGGTCCCCAACTTAAGTTTTGGTCCTGGGGACTACTGGGTAGATGGCATCGGTGGCCTTGGAAACAGTGGCATTGGTGGGCTTTTTGGTGTAGTTGTGCCTACCTATGTATATGCTGGGCATGCTCCCACCCTCCCCACCTCCACCCCAATCGCCTATGTTATTTTTCTCTTTGAGGGGACAGAAGAGATCTGGCTTAAATTTTTGATTTTTCTCAGCATGGCAAAAATTCAAACTCTTTATCAGACAGGCTGGAGATGCTGAAAGCATCTTGGGCCAAGCCAAGCCCAGCAATAAATTCCCTCTGGAGAAAAGGAATTGCCCCTTGCACAGTCATTGATACCTGTGCAAAATGAGGGTCAAATGCCACTATTCTGTGGTGGTAGCATTTGGTATTTGCTTTGCACAGGTGTCAGTGACTGTGCAAGAAAGGCAGTGGAGAGTCAAGCCTCTTATCTGCAAAGTGAAAGCAGTTGTTAGGGAGTTTAGTTGATATATAGTCTGTCATAAGGCCTCCTCTAAATGTCCTTGTGTTTGTTTTTTTGGTCACTTAAAGACATGTTTATATTTGCCTTGCTTACAAGAGGGCACAAAGAAAATAAAACCCTTTATTAATTAAAAACTTTCTTTTCCTCACCAACACCTCATTGTCTTGTGTATAAATGCAGAAAACAAATCAGAGTGCATAAACAAATATTTCTACTTTTATTTTTAGGACCACATTTTCAAAAGAATCCAAACCTGGTCTCTGAAATTGCAGACAGCTCTGCATACCTGATTTCTGTTCACCCAGAAGAGGCAATTAGACTTCTAATTATCCTATTTGCACACAAATGCATGGTATGCCAATTTGCTTCAACATAATTCCCAATAGTCCTGCAATACTAGTTAGCCATGTACTGTTACAGGTCTCACCTGCCTTTGCTAAGGGCAGGTGACTCTCTCTTATTTCAGGAGCAGAAGAGATCTTTCAAGCAGCTAGGACAGCAGTTCTGCTTCCCCTGGGCTGTTACTCCAATAAATACTATACATATATTTACACTTTTGGTTGTTGTCTTAAATATAAAGGGAAGGGTAAACACCTTTAAAATCCCTCCTGGCCAGAGGAAAAACCCTTTCACCTGTAAAGGGTTAAGAAGCTAGGATAACCTCGCTGGCACCTGACCAAAATGACGAATTAGGAGACAAGATACTTTCAAAAGCTGGGAGGAGGGAGAAAAACAAAGGGTCTGTGTCTGTCTGTGTGATGCTTTTGTCAGGCACAGAACAGGAATGGAGTCTTAGAACTTAGTAAATAATCTAGCTAGAGATGCGTTAAATTCTGATTTCTTTAAACGGCTGAGGAAATAAGCTGTGCTGAACGGAATGGATATCCCTGTTTTTGTATCTTTTTATAACGTAAGGTTTTGCCTAGAGGGATTCTTTATGTTTTCAATCTAATTACCCTGTAAGGTATTTACCATCATGATTTAACAGAGGTGATTCTTTTTCTTTTTTCTTCTTTTAAGAAACTGAATGCTTTTTCATTGTTCTTAAGATCCAAGGGTTTGGGGCTGTGGTCACCTATGCAAATTGGTGAGGATTTTTATCAAACCTTCTCCAGGAAAGGGAGTGTAAGATTTGGGAGGATTTTGGGGGGAAAGACGTTTCCAAATGGACTTGTTCCCAGTAACCGGTGTTAGATGTTTGGTGGTGGCAGCGAAAGTCCAAGGGCAAAAGGTAAAATAGTTTGTACGTTGGGGAAGTTTTAACCTAAGCTGGTAAAAGTAAGCTTAGGAGGTTTTGATGCAGGTCCCCACATCTGTACCCTAGAGTTCAGAGTGGGGAAGAAACCTTGACAGTTCTATATTAGATGTCTTTGGATAATTAATTAATCTTGTGAATTATTACAGTAGTTTTAAAATCTGAATAAACCATTTGGTGGTAATAGTAAATCCACTTCAGTAAATTGACTAATGGGGGGAAAAGTTACGCGTGTTGTAAGTGTTTGTAGGATCAGAGCCTATGGGCCTGATCCTATTCCAGTTGAAGGCAATGAAAGTTTTGCTATGAACTGCAGGGGAAATAAGATGGGCCCATTGTTTCAAATTAGGAAATATAGATAAACACGACAGGATGTGGCCGTCTTAAAAATAATATTGGAAGTGTTTCTAAAAATGCCTGTCATGACTTTAATGAGGGGAAAGTAAGACATTACCCCTCTTGCCTATCATACGTGAATTTGTTTTTAATAATTATTTTATCCAGAATGCTTTAATAAACTATTGCACCATTAGCACTGCAAAATCTGTTAATCAAAACTGCCTCCCACACATGTACTCTTAGTTGGGCTGATGTTTGCTCATCAAAGCAGGTTTTACTCTCACAAGCCCAGATTCTGATCCCGTTATCTCACATTGGTGAGCAGTTACTCACGTATGCCCACTCATGCCAGATCAAAATGGAGAAGTTCTCACATTGCATATCTGGCCTCCTTTTTTTAGAAGCATTTAGAAAATGGGAAGCCAATGGATTACCTGAGTAGCTACTCCCCAGCTTGACTGAGGGGTTTGCAATCAAGCTCAAAGTATCTTTCTTTCCAATAACAAAAATTATTTTGATCACATTGCGTTTTTTGTTTTTAACATGTCCGGATTCTCTCTCCATGCTTGCAGTCTCCTCAAAAACCTAACCTCCAAATACACAATAGGCAATTATAATTCATCCCACGCAGGACAGACAGAGTACAACTTTAAGACCTGTACTTTAGGCAAAGAACAGATAAATATGGTAAAGCTTGTGGCAGGTCAGTGGCCCATCTTTCTCAGTGATTGTCTCTATAGAACATTATGAAGAATAAGAAGAGAAAATGAAGAAAAAATATAATTTGGTAGTTGGTCATTACTACTATAAATGAAGGATAAAAGCGGTTACCCAGTGGTTTTCCCATTTCCCCATGATAACTGCAGGTCCAAATGATCGAGCAGGGTTCATACTGGCACCAGTGTAGTTGATCTACAGTAAAAATAAAATGTTAACTATTGCTATGATTAGAACATTCTTATTCAACCATTTACTGTCGCCATTTGCTGGAATGCAGTACTGTCACACAAACCACTTCGAGCCATCTCTGCTTTTGTATTCCTACCAGCTACAGTAGTATCAGACTGTGTTATCATTCTCCAGATCACCCTTCTAGTGACAGAATTAACATATACATAGACAGATAAAAACCTGATCCAATACCCTATCAATAGAATGCAAAGCCCATTGAGGTCAATGGGCTTTGCAAGGGATCCCCAACAGGCTATTAAAGAATTACAGCTCTAAAGGCTCCTGGAGCTCCCATCTAGTTCAGGAGTAGGGACAGTGGAAGACGGGCTCTATTATTTAAGCAGAAGTCATTAACTTACAGCAAATAAATGTCCAATTGCAACAGAAAATCCAATTGCTAAAGCCACTGAACCAGTGACATCGCTTCGTTTTGAATCACAGCTGGCAAAAATAGTAAAAACCAGCTGGAATGTAATTATCAACTCCACCAGAAGTCCATGGCCAGCGGAAAGATCTCCATGTACCTGGAAAAAGAAACAACCACCGAAGATGAAGCAAAGGTGAGTTTGCAGTTCAAAAAGCTACTACAAATATTAATTGTTTTATGACTGAAAATGTTGAATCATGCACAGTGATGAAATGGCACTGCACTTTGGAAAGGTATGGATTCATTTTTTACCCCCCTTCCCCCCCTTTTTTTTTTGACAGCCATGGAAAATTACTGATGGACTGACAAAGTTCTTACTGGATTTTAATGTAGCACTTCAAAGCTAGACTGCATTTATTATATCTTGAATTTGCAAATGCTGCAGTTAAACTTGCACAACTTTTTTTCCTTGAGAGCACTGTAATTTACGATTCAATTATAAATTAATTAATTAGCCCTGACTTAATTAATTGAAATTTCAATTAAAAATTAAGCAGCGTGTGGCTCAAGTGCATTTTTAATAAGTCCTGCAACAGGGCTAACTGATGGCATTCCTTATTAGCTTAGAACAAAGTGGAAATCTGAGGCACAATCTATTTCAGAAGTGTGTCATTTTAAATTGATGTTTTTTTCAATCACCATCATACTGGCATAGAATTAATTTCAGAATTCTTCTTGAAATTGTATTTCATGCATATATATTTAAACTGTGAATGTAGATTAGCATTACCTGCTGTTACCAGATTTTGGGGAATTCTAGAAGAGAAATATTCTGTAAAAGAATAGCTGTAAATATTGCTTAGTATAAACCCATTCTAATGAGAGATCTAAGCCACATATAGGAGCTGTAAATAAACCAGCAATGCACTTAAACCATCACTTCTACTTTCTGGGTTTAAATCTGACACTAAAAAGTTATTCTACTTTAAGAGTAGGAGCAAAAGTTGTTACCGTAGTAACTCCCAAGCCTCCCACCAAACTTGGGGGTGTGACAAGGTAGAGAATTCCTGCCCCCACTATTGCACCCAGGCATTGGGCAACAATATAGAAGACAGACTTGGCAAGGCTGATCTTCCTAGTGCAGACCATAGCAACAGTCACAGCAGGGTTAATATGGCCACCACTGATGTGTCCAAAGCACTGCACCATGGTTGCAATGCTCAGTCCAAAGCAGAGAGCGATAAGGACCATGTCTACAGGCAGAGGCTTTTCAGATCCACCCCAGTTGATTGTAGAGCCAAGGCTGAGGAGGACAAAAATTAGCATGGCCAAAAATTCTGCTGAAACAGCTTTCCAGAAAGGCTGAGTCCAGACGCCTTTAAATGCCACCATGATGGTCTCACACTTACACAGACGTCCACACTTACTGAAAAAGAAAACAAATCTGCATCAGAATTCACCAAGTCAGCCTTAGATCTTGCTGCAGAGGGTTATTATATGGCTGACCTTCTGGGGATGGCAGCAACACTGGGCACTCTATGGTGGGGCTAATAATAAAGATGTGCCTTGTGAGAGAGAGTGACCTCCTAAACAAACCTTACTCATGCTCAGGAAGTCCTGTTCTTAGTATACTGCAGTCTAAAGGACGCAGGGCAACTAGTCATCATGTTTGAGAAGGAAAGTCTCTCTGAATAGATGGAGTTTCAGGTAAAGAAGCCTATAGTTTTTTTTAAAACTAAGTAGGCTTGTCCTTCTAGTTGCATCAAAGTCTGCATTGAACTTGCACACAGCCGATGAAGTGAGCTGTAGCCCATGAAAGCTTATGCTCCAATAAATGGGTTGGTCTCTAAAAGGTGCCACAAGTCCTCCTTTTCTTTTTGTGGATACAGGCTAACACGGCTGCTCTTCTGAATCCTGCATTGACCTTGCATACTGTAAAACCCCATTAACTTCAGTGGCCCCTTTGTCCCTTGTGTGTGTTCGATGGAGAACTTCCCTTTCTGTGCAAATTCGTACTTTACCAGCACATATACAATATTTTAATAAAAGGCCAAGAGCCCAATCAAAATCCTAATTTCCCAAACTGCAACATTGGTGTTGCAGTTTTGGAAGTTGCCCTAGAAGCATTTATAAGAGAGCCTCTTTTTGAAATATTACTTTGTGTCAATAAGAAACAGTTTCTTCAGGCTGGACATTTGGTAAAATGAATACAACCAGGAGAATACAAGAAATCCTAAATCTTGTCCCCTGAATCAAACATTCAATTTCCTTTGGGCTATGTTTGTAGGGTGAGGAGCGAGATGTAGTAATATTTATTGGATAAGTATTGTGGAGAGCTGTGGGTGGGAGGAGAAAGAAGTACCTTGGTTTCATTTGTGCACCAGCACCGATATTTACTAGGTAGGCTACGCTGCCTTCATCATGAGTTACATTTTTGTTCGCTGCCCAGAGACCTATGAAAGTGGGTTACTGAAGAAGAGTTATTTGTAGTATTAATAAATTGAGAATAAACCAAAAAGGTAGCATTTTATGAGTTTCCAAGGAATGCAAACAAGATTTTCTTTCTTTTTTTAATTTAAACAAAGGAAAATAACTTCTACAACTCAGAGCAGAATTTCAAGTGGAAGGATGGAGGAATGTAATAACCGGTTACCTAAGGTAATTGAGCCATAGTACATACCCAACAACACTTCCACGTGAAAGAATGCATTATGTATCTTCATAAGCACCAGAGGCACACATGACCATGAATTTCTCAGCAGTGCAGTTTTGATGCTCTCAGAGGAGGTGTGGCAGGGCCCACCCACTTCACATGAGCACCCGTACTGGCTGAGTGTGTGTCTACACCTGCACTCCCTCTGCATTGCTCTGCTTGTGGTGACCCCTACTGGCAGTTAAATGTCTTAGGCAGATTTCAGTGACTCAGCCCTCTGTTGTTGTGAAACAACAAACAGATCCCTTCTGGAGTACAAGTCCAACAGGGCCAATCAAGTACCCACAGTTGGTCTGTTCCTGCAGCCCTCCCTGGGCTCAGTCTTAAATTGTCCTTGCTCTGGTATGGAGCAGTACCCCCAGGGCTTCCTCCTTGGAGATTTTTCACCTATTGTGTCAGCTGGGTCACTCTTTACAGTTCAGTCCCCTTTGGGGTGTGTATGTTGTATCAGAAGTCCCACAAATACTGCCCCTCTTTCTAGGCCTTCAGCCCCTTCTTCAGGGAATTGGCCACTCCACCTGGGGCCTGGGTGTGTGGGGCGGGGGGGGGGGGGGAGAGAATGGACCCAGGCATGCCCACTACTCCAAGTCCCAACCCAGGGACCTTATAAGTAGCAGCCACCTTCTGCTTCCCTTTAACTATTTAGTGCTGCATTTCCCTGGGACAACCCCCCATAGAAGCAATGAAGAGATAAAGCAAAACTGGAACCTTAAACCCCTTTAAAATGTTGGATACCTAGATATGAACCAGCACCTAGAGTTTTGGTTTCAGTCAGGGCCTGAACAAGAATGGGACAAAATTTTTCTTTTTTTGACCCAGATGAGATTGTTTTCACAAGATTTCAACCACAGTGTGACAAATTCACCTCTTGACCACCTCCGTGGGGCTGGATGCAGTATTGCAGTCCTTCTCTCACCCCAGGTTCTTCCTGCAGACTGACTTTTGTGGGTGTTCAGTGGCTTGGCCCTCTGTCCAAGTCACAAAGTCTGAGTGAACCCCTCCCAGGGTATTAAAGAGCCCAATAAATAAACAATCTCTTTGCCCTCGGTAGGGTCTTCCGCAGAGGCTCTGGGTCCTTTAAGTTCAGCCCCTTGTTCAGGCTCCCAAACAAACTCCGTGTCCTTCTTGGGGTTTATGCCATGTTACCTGTGGGGGAATGCAGGCCTGCCCGCTACTCTGGGTTCCAACCCAGCTCAGGGACCCTACACACTAGCAACCACACACTGCTTGAGTCAATCAGTTGCTGCTTCTTCCCTAGGCCTCTTCCCACCAGGCATTTTAACTTCACCCTTATCCCAGAGTTAAGGTTCTTAGGTACTCTCTCTCCGTGCAAACCCAGCTCTGCAAAATACTGCCAGGCAATCTTTGGCTATCCCACAAGCTCCTGTTGCCAGAGAGTAGCACCCTTCCTTTCCCCTCTGCTCCCAGCGAGAAACTGAACTGCTAAGGCCCTTGCAGTTCCTTTTATCTGGGCCACTAGGGCCTGATTGGCTGTTTCAGACCCCTCTAGCCCTTGGAGTACCTGGTCCCTGTGGTTTCCAAAACAGCTGTTCTGAAGACTCCTCTCTAGGTAAACTTGGAGGACCCATATTCGCTGCTGTTCTCCTCTCCGCTCTCTATTTCTTGGGCTGGGGTACAGTAGTACCACGGGGCTCCCAGCCAGGCGGAATATACCTAGTCACACTAAGACAACTAAGACATGCAACAACAGCTAACCCTGCAACATTTCTATCATTCAAAATGGCCAAACGTTCACAAAAACAGCTTATGAAATTGACACTGAATTTGAACCCTAAACCAGATTGTCACTTAAACCCACCCTCTACTGCTGGCCTAACTCTAACACAGATCCAACCAAATACTACCTCCCTGGCAACAGCGTAGTCTAGTGCATTGTGCATGGGACAGGGAGACAGGAACTCCTAATCTTCACCTTGGATTTACTCTCACGTCATTGTGCGATGCTGGCCAAATTACAACCACTCTGTGTTTAATTTTCCTCCTCTGTAAAATTAGAATAAAAATATGTTCCTGCCTGACAGAGGACACTGTGGCCTGTCCTATATGCTGGTGGAATGTAAGGGGGCCTGAAGTGCCTCCTTATTCCCTTGCACCAGTGTGTTGTACTGTTGCTTCCAGCATGCAGGGGCAGCAGGCTCTTCATTTCCCCACCCTTGCACAAGTAAGCAGAAAGGGACAGAGCCTTGGCAAATGTACCTGTTGGCATAGCTACACTAGCACATCAGAGAGCATATGATGTGTCAGGTTTGATGACACAATGACACAAATGACACAAACAGATGACACAAACATTGGGGGAGTGGTAAATAATGAAGAGGACAGGTCACTTGGTAAACTGGACTCAAGCAAACAGTATGCATTTTAATATGGCTAAGTGTAAATACATACATCTAGGAACAAAGACAATAGACCATACTTACAAGATAGGGGACTTTATCCTGGGAAGTAGTGACTGAAAACGATTTTGTGGTCGTGGTGGATAATGAGCTGAACGTGAGCTTCCAGTGTGATGCTATGGCCAAAAGGCCGAATGTAACCCTTGGACGCATAAACAGAGGAATCCTGAGTAGGAGTAGAGAGGTTATTTTACCTCTATATTTGGCACTGGTGTGATTGCAGTAGGAATACTGTGCCCAGTTCTTACTCCTGGGGGAAATTTGTGCCACTACGCATGCGCAGAGTTCATGTCCTCCACAGATTTCTTTGCTTCCCTGCAGAAAAAATGACTTTCTGACAGGGAAACAAAGGGAAGCCACAAGAGCGGCCATGCGCCACTCCCCAGCAGCGTGGGTGCATTGTTTTGGGATTCCGGAGCAGCCAGTGGAGTGGTAATCACTGGGGATGGGGGCGGGCTAGGGACGTCCTGGTCAGTGGCTCCTACCCTGTGCCAGGCTCAGCTAGTAATCCTGGCTGGGCTGGGGATGACAGGACTTCCTCTGCCTCTCCAAGAAACAGCCAGGGCTGGGTCAGACCCACCCCCAGAAATCTTTCTAGCTGCAGGAAGCGCTGCACTCCCTCCCCCGCTGCTTCTTGCCCCCATTGCTCCTCAGCTGTGGGGGGGAGGGGTCGCTGTACAGGAAGCTGCTCCCTCATCTGCCCAACCCCCGTGCATCCAGACTCACCTCATACCCAGCCTCATGCCCTGCACCCAGAACCGCCCCCCCCACTGACTCCCTTGAACCCAAACCCATACCCCAACAAGCCTCTCTTTGCAGCTGGAGCCCCCTGAACCCAGACCCCTCCGCCGAGCACAACCTCCCTGCATCTGGACCCCACCCCTGCACCCAGACTGCCCCTTGCACTCGAACCCGCACCAGAACAAGCTCCACCCACCTGCACCTGGACCACCCTGACTAGTCCCCTGCATAGGGTGACCAGATGTCCCAATTTTATAGGGACAGTCCCGATTTTGGGGGCTTTTTCTTATATAGGCACCTATTACCTCCCACCCCGTCCCGATTTTTTAAACTTGCTATCTGGTCACCCTACCCCTGCACCCAGACTTCCACCCCACTGAATCCCACCAAGCCAGCACCTGGACCTGCACCCCACAAAGCCAGCACCTGAACTCCCCCGCTGAGCCCTTCACACCCATACCTCCCTGTTGAGCCCCAACCACCTTCACCTGGACCCCCCAGCAGAGTCCCATTTTGTCTGCATCCAGAATCCCCACCCCCAATAAGCCCCTGTTC